AGAAACCCAGGACCGTGGCCCCGGGGCCCATTTGGCCTTGAGCTGAGGAAGAGACAGGGTACCAGACCCTGCACACACGGACCGTCGGAGGAAGCTCATCATGGAGTTACCTTGTTTCTGGTGGCCAGATCTCGCCTGGGAGGGTTTTGGCATGGCAGCTTTGTAAAATTTCACGTGCAAGTCTGACAGAGGGGACTGGAGTTTGCAGCTCCGGGATACCAAGGCTGTGCAAGGACTCTGCCCGCACCGGACCCCTCCGTGCCTGGTGAGAGTGGTCTGGGGCTCGCCTCCGCTCCTGTCTCTGGGGCACGCAGCTCTGCTCTTCCTCGGTCTTTCCATTCTTCCCATTCACCTCCTTAGCCCTTTTCAGTCCTTAAAGGGCAAATGGCTCTGCATGCCTTTTTTTTCTCCCTCCACTCCTCTTCCAGCTCTCTGTCTCCTGCCACCCTGGGCCAAACTTTTCCCTCCTATTCCTATTTCTCTTGATCGCCTCTTTCTCTTCTCTTCTCTTCTCTTCTCTTCTCTTCTCTTCTCTTCTCTTCTCTTCTCTTCTCTTCTCTTCTCTTCTCTTCTCTTCTCTTCTCTTCTCTTCTCTTCTCTTCTCTTCTCTTCTCTTCTCTTCTCTTCTCTTCTCTTCTCTTCTCTTCTCTTCTCTTCTCTTCTCTTCTCTTCTCTTCTCTTCTCTTCTCTTCTCTTCTCTTCTCTTCTCTTCTCTTCTCTTCTCTTCTCTTCTCTTCTCTTCTCTTCTCTTCTCTTCTCTTCTCTTCTCTTCTCTTCTCTTCTCTTCTCTTCTCTTCTCTTCTCTTCTCTTCTCTTCTCTTCTCTTCTCTTCTCTTCTCTTCTCTTCTCTTCTCTTCTCTTCTCTTCTCTTCTCTTCTCTTCTCTTCTCTTCTCTTCTCTTTTTTTTTTCTCTGTTATATTTGCTGGGTTGCAGCTGTTGTAGCTCATGGAGAAGGGGGGAAGACTGAATGACCAGAGGACATTCACTGTACTGGGGACCTAAGAGTTACTAATTTTGCCTTCATCTCTTGCCTTTCCCCAGGTGAGCACGAGAGAGAAAGGAGGAAGATGGACCGACATCCCAACAACACTATCCGTGACTGGCATACAGTGCCTCCAGCAACAACGGAGAGCATGGTCTATGGAGGTGGACACAATGGGACCAGGTGTTTTGCAGAACACATCCCTGAAATTGTCACCGGTAGCACCACGCTGCTCATCTGCCTGTGTGGGCTAGTGGGGAATGGAGCCATCCTCTGGCTCCTCGGCTTCCGCATCAGGAGGAACCCCTTCACTGCCTACCTCCTCAACCTGGCCATTGCAGACACCTGCTTTCTCCTCTGCACATCGGCTTTCCTTGTAATATATCATATGCCCATGCTCAGCTGCTTTCAGCCAGCGCTTTTGCAGGTGCTGCCGCTATTTCACTCCATGGTTCTGCTCACGTACAGCACCAGCTTCTATGTCCTCACGGCCATCAGTGTGGAGAGGTGTGTGGGTGCCCTCTGGCCCTTCTGGTGCCGATGCCACCGCCCGAAGCTCCTGTCAGCCATCATATGCAGCCTGCTGTGGGCCCTCGCCTGTGTGCTTGCCGGGCTGGTGTACTTCGTGTGTGACCTGGGTCACTCTGAACACTGCTGGAAGGTTCTTGGAACCTTGTGCTTTCTCAATTTCTGCTTTTTCACTCCCTTTATGGTTATTTCCAACGTGATCCTCTTCATCAAGCTTAGGCATAGCTCCTGGCAACACCACCCAGCGAGGCTGTACATTGTCATCTTCCTCACTGTTTTCTTCTTCCTCCTCTTTGGCATCCCGCTCAGTGTCCAGATCTTCCTCAACTTCTTTGTCTACATTAATTTTGTCTTTGAGATCTGCCTGTTGCTGGCCTCTGTCAACAGCAGCATCAATCCAGTTATTTATGTCCTGGTTGGGAGCTACGGCAAGTCCAGGTTCAGGGGATCTGTCAAACTGGCTCTTCAGAGGGTCTTTGAGGATAAGGCAGACTCCCAAGAGGTGGGTGAGACCCCTGTGATGGGCGTTGCTGCCTAAACCCCTACGGCTGCAGACTGGCACCTGGAGAGGAGCAGCCCTGCCTCTGCACCCCGGGCCAGCACCCACGGGAGCAGAGCCCTTGCCCAGCTGGGCGAACAGGACTGGCAGAGGATAGCCACGCATCCCCCAGGACATGGCCACGCTCGATGAGATTTCCAGGGGCAGGGCTGGTTCCCACCTCAAATTTGTTTTTAAGTTATTTTAATAAAAGTGTCTTTCATATAACTTGCTGGTGATTGCAGTTTCTTCCTTTGCTGGCTCCATGGGGTGCCCTTGCTTGTGCTCAAACTTATAGCTGTGACAGTCTCCTCACGTTGCCCGCTAGTTTATAATGCTGAAATGATGTGGTCCAGAAAGTTCTGCCTCATCTGTTCTGTTCTCCAGGGTTAACATGGCCACACTCCTGTGTGCCAATCTGCACCTTGTCTGCTTCCTAGCACGGAGAGTCCCAACTCTTCCTGCCTCTACTTGCCTCTGGGACCTCGGTGCCTGGTACTAAAGCACCGACCACTCACTACCTTCATCTGCAAAAGCCCCCAGACCAGAGGAGATGATGGTGAGGGACAGAAATGATGTTTTTCAGCTTCCTCCGGCTTGACGTCCTCCCGTGCCACAGTCTGACAGAGAAAACCCATCACAGTCTGGCTGCTGGAGCTGGCAGCATCAGCCAGCAGCCAAACCTTCACCCTGCCAAGGGGGTTTAACCAGAGAGGCAGGAAGGGACGGGCAAAGAGACCAGGATGGACAGAGGACGGACAGACAGACATCTAGGGGCTGATGGTAATTCTGTGCACTGGGTGGAGAAGCCTGTGGAGCAAACTGCCATGGCAGACCCAAGAAAAGAGACAGAAATAGAGGATGGGAAGGTTCTCGCAGGTGATAGCTCAAGGAGGTTGAGCTCTGCCTGCCAGACGGTTTTATTAGCTTTCCTGACACACAGAAACAACTGCTACCAGAGCCATAATATTTACAGAATGTAGCTTCCTTTGAACATATACAAGCCTGACCCCGATACAAACAAATAACCGATATCTGTAAATCTTGTGTTGGAAATCATAATTTTAGGTGAATGTGCTCAGGATGTTGCCCACGAAAGCAGAAGCTGAGAAACTCTGGGTAATCCTGCTCTTTTGCTGAGCACACAGAGAGATGGGGCAGCAAGCGTTGTGTTGCGTGGCATTATGCTGGTGTACCTTGATGCTTTCCTTGTCATGACCTGTTTGCACTTGAAAGGGTTGGCTTGGTGAGGGGATGTGAGAACCTGTAGTTGGGGACACAAACACAGCGTCAGCGAGGGAGAAAGGAGGCGGTTTTGGTCCTGGGGTCCCCACGGGTGCCAGCTCCCAGCAGGAGCATCCCTTGCTCCCAGATGCAACAGGAGCTGTTTGCATTCCACCTTCACTGCAGTCAGTCTGGGTAAGAGTCATCTCACCTAACTTCAGCTCACTAGAAATTACGGGAGCCTGTCTGAGAAAACCATTTTAGGCTGCTGACTGACTACAAAGGGAGTGTAGAAGACAATGCAGACGCAACCCTTAACTTTTAGATGGCTAAAGCCAAGTGAGCAGCATTGATTCACCTCTCCTTAAGAAAAAAAGATTTTCCTGAAACCCTAAGTCATCTCTCCACCGCCTGCCTGTGCTCTGGTTCACACACAGATCTTATTATTCAATTAGCTCCTTGCTGTACATAGTAGCATGCTCTTGGAAACGGTGTATTTGAAGGTCAAGTATCACTGTGAAATTGTGGTATACAAGTGTCAAACCTAGCTCTGAATCAGAAAGCGGAGTTTTGGAGTAACGCCCAGCTTGCAGCGCAGGGTCCTAGAGATACACCCCTGGAACAACAGGAGAGAAGTTCAGCCAGTTCAAAGATACACATATTTTGGGATTGGGGTTGCTTTAAAATGAAATGAAAGAGGAACCTGACATGGAGACAATCTGCTTTTCCCATAGGTCTAGTTTCTGAGACGTTTTTGTTACTCATTTCCTGTACAAAGCCAAGAACAGATTATAACCAGAACCCCGATACTGTCCAATGCAATGAAATAGTTCCCTGTTTGCAAGAACGCTTGAGAACATGACCTGCTTGGCAAGCAGCGAGAAAAGTGGTTTGTGAAAGGACCTGAGAAAGACCCCGCGCTGCACGCCGCACAGGCTCACCAAGGCAGGCTTCGGTTCAGTTTGCCAAGTGATAATTCCAGGAAACCTCATGAAGATCCCATCACGGGGGCGGCAGCTGGCGAGCGCGAGGTGGTGTGAGTCTGCAGCGCGTCTGCTCCAGTGAAGTTCTCCAGGCTCCGAGAGGAAAGGAGGTCAGACTTTTCGGGGGGCGGGG